ATTTAAATTTCAACCAGCAGCTAAGAATAACGCCATCAATGAGCAGTTTGGAAGCGCTGCTGGCAAAGCTACCGTCAGTGGTGGCGCCGGCAGGAGAAGAGGCGGCGGTACGTCCCCATCAGCATCAGTCGGAGAGCTCGGCGCAGAAAACTTTGGAGCTTTTGGCAATGGAAAAGGTTGCTAAAGTAGAGAATCACGACGTCGACGACCATGACGACGACGATCAGGTGGTTTATTCACAACTCCTCCGTCGTTATCATGATTGTGATATAACTACTACCTCCCATAATCATGGATTTTAGTTCTTTTTTCTTTTTGCTTCTTTTTCTGTGACACTGCCTTTATCATCATATCAGGATATTAATTGCCATCATTGATTAGGATATTAATTAATCTTAGTTTTTTTTTTCTTTCTCGGTTCTACCTATTATTTTTCTCGCCTAAATTAGTCTCGAGTAGAATTAAGGGGATAGAGTTGACTAAAGCATTGCTTCGTCTGAGTTGTAGTGTTGAGACGTTGAGACACTAATCATGTTGGACTTCTAGCTTAGCTACAACTAACAACTAGCATCGATGTTGTTCTCTCGAGGAAATAGCTCTTTTTTCTTCCTTCTAATGGATTTCTTCACTTGGCCATGTTTTAGCTCATTTTTTATCCTAATTATCTTTAAATCTTCGTCAGTTCTAACATAATTTAATAGATAGAATACAAATTATCATTTTAAAAGTTAACGGTTTATCTTCTTCTTTTGCTATTTAGTAGTTATGGCAATACTCGAAATATCATAATTTATGATAGAAATTAAAACGGGTAGATGCAGTAGCAACCTAAGCGATAGTGTCTTTCCAAAAACCTTGAATTTGTATCCATTTGTTTTATGATCGGCATTTTATGTAGCAAACAATTTCACAATGTTAAAAACTAAAAAAAATAAACATTTAGAAAACATATGACATTTCGGATAAATTAATAAAACATGACATACTTCATTTAAGACATCTGCAGCTGTTCCTCATTTGCAGGTGAGTGAGTTTTGGGGCTTTGGCATTTTGTCACTGTTAAGGATATTTAGTAATAAATTATAGTTTACCATATATATTATATTTGATATTTTATTATAATGCAAATATCTAATATTTGCCTTATTATCATAGGTATCTTTCCATTTATTGTTATTTCCATTTATTACTATTTCCATATCCTTGTAATTTATTTGATTATAAATAAGATAACTTTCACACCATTTAGTGGTGGTGGATTAATCAAACATTCACATGGTATCAGAGCCCTCTCGGTTTAACAACCCCGATCCTTTCTTTTCAATGGCTTTTGAATCCTCTAATCTTCTTCTCCACCACCCCTGCTGGTTTTGACGCCGCAGGGGCAGTCTTCATGGCTGCCGTAGTCGGAGCCGATTGATTACTCTTCGGCTCCACCCTATTGACCTCCAAATCACTTTTTGTCATACTCTGTACATACAACCTCACCTTTTCCAACCCAATCGGTTTTCCCCTTGGCCAATATAGTCTCTCTCATTTTCTTCCCAATCAACCTTCATCCTTCACATAAACCCTAACCTAAACCTATCAACCTTTTGCAGAGAGTTACCTTCGGAATCTGGGTGCCGCACTGGCCTATTCGCCAACCAAGTTGCCGCCGCCCTTCCTGCCAAAATTGGCTTCTTCGCCCGATGAGGCGACTCTTCCGACTGCCCTTCTCGCCAAAATTGGCTCCTTCGCCCAATGTGGCGACTCTTCAGGCTTCAACATTGTCTTTGTCCCTTGCTCTAGGTTTCCCCTTTTACTTCTTGGGGTTAGAAATATTCTCACCAGAGCCAAGGCAGCATCGTCGCTAAGCGACAATCCCTCTTCATGGGTTAGACATATTCTCGCCGAAGTCAAGGCAGCATCGCCGCTGAGCGGCGATCCCTCTACAATTTTTTATGGCCAAGAACCGTGTTGTTAGCATCTTCATGAAAAGTGTTTCTCAACCTCTTTGAATTTTTCAGATTCAAGCTTCACGTTCGTTTAAATCCGACGCTTAGCTTGCGGTGGGGTGTTAAGGATATTTAGTAATAAATTATAGTTTACCATATATATTATATTTGATATTTTATTATAATGCAAATATCTAATATTTGCCTTATTATCATAGGTATCTTTCCATTTATTGTTATTTCCATTTATTACTATTTCCATATCCTTGTAATTTATTTGATTATAAATAAGATAACTTTCACACCATTTAGTGGTGGTGGATTAATCAAACATTCACAGTCACCAAAGAGCCCAATAATGATTAGCTCCAAACCCAGCTTTCAAATGGGTTGTTGTCGGGCGGGCTAACCCAATACCTAACAAATGTGCACAGTACTTTAATTCAATAGAACCGATCAAATATATTCTCTAGCTACAGACCAACACGAGTCCTCTAGCATATTTGACAGGAGGTCAACTAATATGAAAGTGCTTCACACAAAGCATACTTAGCCATAGAGTTTCTATCATTGAGTTACCTTGTTAGTATACGTATTAGCTTTCATTTCCTTTTAAGTCTTTCCTAGTTATCATATCCTCATGATCACTCTCATTCTGATATGATCTCAGTTCATTTATTGTAACAGCCCAAGTCCACTACTAGCAGATATTGTCATGTTTGAGCTTTCACTTTTGGGCATCTCTCAAGGTTTTTAAAACGCTGGAAAAGTTTTCATACCCTTATAAAAAAATGTTTTATTCCCTTCTTCACCCAATGCAAGATTTCACAATCCACCTCCTTTGACACCCAACATCCTCGCTGACACTCATTTCCCTCTCTAATCAATGTGGTATCTCACAATTCACTCCCTTTAAGATTATTGGTCCCTTCAGGGTTATTGCCACAGTGGTTATTGAGCAATTCTACAATACCTACACGCACACATACATATTCTGTTAAATACGCTACTTTTGATTGTGAGATCTCACATCATTTCGAGAGGAGAATGAAACATTTTTTTTATAAAAGTGTGAAAATCTCTCCCTAGTAGACTTGTTTTAAAAACCCTAAAAAAAACTCGAAATAACAAAGTACACAAACCTAAACCATAAAGATTTAAGGTCCATTAAACGCGTAAAAAACAGTGCGCGAGGGAACAAAATGGATGGGCTAAGTGAATGCTCTATGCGAGGTATGCGAGGTTGGAGTGAAGCATAGGGAACAGCCGCAGCCCACCAGCCAGCCATTGCATTACCTCAAGTTCAAGGCTTGGAACCACGACCATATATATCTTAGATCTTTCACAACTAATTTCAGTGCTCATGTGCAACCATGTGCCTTCGGCTCCCACCACATTAAGGACCTCAAACTCCGAACTACTCAACTCCAACCAACCACGTATCATTTTAACATAAAATGAATTTAAAGATTAATCCCAAAAATGTCATTTTCCAAAAATTCCCCTTTTTTGTTTTTATATAATCATGAAAATTCAATTCACGACGTAAATAATAAATAGCATTAATGTGCATGTACATACAAATGTTTCTTTTTTATTTCTCTAAATTTGTTTGAGTCGTCGTTATCATCTCCCTCACATGTTTCGCTACCTTCCAATCTGAGGATGATATATTATTTTATTTTATAAACATAAAACATTCTTAAATAAAAAAATTATAAATTAAAGCTTTTTTTATCATTAAATAAAACTCAAATGATCGTTAGAGATTTCAAATCTTGTATAATTAAAAATCAATACTTTTGAAGAGAAATAATCGTCAAATTATCACACTTGTCATACGTGTGGTTAAAATTAAAATTTTAAATAATTACCTCAATAAAAATATGGAAATTTGAACTCTTAATTTTATGAAAAATAAAATTTAAAATAACTCTAATTTCATAGGCTGAAAAAAAAAACCCCATCTCAAATAACTTTACTTTTTGTCGGAATAAAGAATTTATTAATTGAATCTGACATTTTAATGACATAAATGAATTGATTTGAAATATATAATATAAATAAAATTTGGATAACACATCTGGCAGTCCACTTGTATTATCTTGACTGACTATAGGATAATGAATGCATTTAAAGTTATTCATAATTTAAATATAAATTATGAATGTTTGATTGCCAAATTAGGAAATGGGAACATGATTAATGCACCATATTTTCTCTTAATTAAATTATAATTAAAATATAATTAATTAATTAATGGTGAAGAGAAAAATGAAATAATTTTTATAAGGGTGTGAAAATTTCTCTTTAGTAGACGATATCAGATACTGGTTGGTCTAATACGATGAGGTCGATGACGATATGTAACAAACCAACGAGGATCATATCGGCTAGTGTTGAGATCGGATCGGGAGAGTTGGAAAGTAGTGGGGGTGGGCCATGGCCCAACGATTTGATCCAAGAAAACTGGCTGGAAGATAACATTTTGGTTCCGGCCCAGACATGTGCGCCCAACTTCCTTCACAGCTAGCTAACCCTTGAAGCTGGGGCCTACCTCTAAATTTCGCTGGATCGATAATAATAATAATGTTATAAATAAAGAAAATGAATAAGATGTGGAATTTGGACCGTTGGATGTAGGCGATCGTATCAGGACACGTGTGGTAAAGAGGTGATTCGGGGACTACGAGGACAGAAAGGTAACTGAAAGATAGAGCAGTGGGTGGCGTTGGCGTGGGCACCCAAACCTAGCTGTCAGACACGTGTGTGGGTCGTTCAAATCCAACCATCCTTCGCCCCACCATTCTTACATAACGACAAAAGAACTTAATCTCTTTCTTTTTCCAATTGAATTTCATTTTTTATTATAAAGATTTAAATCTCTAACAATTCTTTTAATAGAGATGTCGAGTTCTTTATTTTCAGATAATAAGTCGAAAATTCGCTTTTTTTCTTTTTATAATATTAATTATGTATAAGTATATATATATATATATATATATATATATTAATGTGTCACATGCTTTCACTATATATATATTTATATAGTGAAGGGACGAGGGACACATCAACAAACTCTCTCTTCCAATTCCAAAAATTCCCCATTCGTTTTTCAACGTTCTTGGAAATGGAATATTACAATTGTGATGAGGCCAAAGGGATTGCGAAGGTGAAGTGGCAGAGGAGAGGGAGGCGCGGCGGACTGCACGGCGGCAGCTCCTCCGTGCACATGAAGATGAGAAAGCTGCAGCGGCTCATCCCCGGAGGGCGGAGGTTGAAACCGGACCGGCTATTCTTAAAAACGGCGGATTATATTATGCAATTGAGGTCTCAAGTTCATGTTTTGCAAGCGCTTTCCAAGATCTACGACCCCCGACTTTCTCAATATTGATCTCTCTCTCTCTCTCTTCTTTTTTTCTCTCTCCCCTTTTTACTCTTTTTTTTTCTCAAAATGGAAAAGATTATCACCTGGTACGATATTATCTATTTTGACTATTACCTCTCGATTTTAAGAGAAGTTTGTACTTTTCAAGATATCTCATACAAAATGAAGATAGTATTTCTTGATTATAAAATCTGATCATTCTCTAAATTAACCAATATGAAAGATGGAAGATGGAAGATGGAAGATGTAGGTTTGATGTTAGTATGTATTAATTATGTGTAGATATCACATCGACAAAATATCTACTGCCATTGTCTTCTCGAGTAGCTTATTAAGATTAATTCAAGGCTTCTTCTTCTCTTGCTTTTTTCATTTTGAACGTTGAACTGAGTGAATATGAATACAATCTAATTTTAAACCACGTCGGTGGATATTAACCAAAGCCCAAACAGTTGATTAAACACCGACCCATGTTGACACCTGGGGGTGGGGGCCTGAAGCGAAGTATTTGGGCCTGAAGCCGACATCAACGGATTTTGTGAAGCTTCTATAATCAATCGGATTCTGTTTCCCGAATCACCCATTTCCCCCCTCGAATGCTATGGCCTTGTGCCACCGCCGTCGCTTACGATACCATCCTCTGCCTTTCCAAATGTATCGGCATTTAAAACCCTCGATGAGGTTGGGTCTCTGCGGCTGAGGGGTTCTGTCGGAACTCTCGGAATCATGTGGCACATGCATTTCCAGCTCCATTTCTAGTTGATTTACCGATGACCCAGGTTGGTAATTCGCAATCTTGACCTTCTAAGAACTCTTCTTTTTTGAAATTTTAAGTTTCCCGGTTCCAATTTGAGAATGAATTGAAGTTTTTAGGCATTTTGGGTTGTGAGAAATATCTGTCTGATGAATTGACTTTCTTGTCTGTCCCAATTGCTTGTTTGCATCAATGCAAGAGGTGCTTTGGCTTCGAACCTAATACATGTCACTAAGACGAATGCACATAACAATTTGTTGTCAACCAATGAATCGTCATGTACGTGTATCTACTCACTCATCCATGTACCTACAAGCGACTCTTTAACACCCTCCATTAAACTGAATTTTGCACTAAGAAGTTTAGGACTTCACTTCATCTTCTTTGAACCAGATATCCCCCACCTCTCTTTTAAGTTTCTCGGACAATGATTGTTTCAAGGGCTTCATGAATAGATCCATGAGTTGTTCATTACCTCGGTCAAAATTGAGTTCAACAATGCCTTCTTTACACAAATCACTCAAAAAACAAAACCGAACATAGATGTGGTTACTCCTTTCTTGTAATACAAGATCTTTAGACAACTTGATAGTTGACAAATTATCACAATAGATAACAACCGAACTTAGTTGAGAGTATCACAATAGATTACTTCTCATGAAAACACTTCATTCATATCACGTGCATAGTAATAGTCATTGGATGCTCATGTACCTATTTATCATTCCAACATCATTCATCAGATCTGTGCAGCTTCAAACCCAATTACAATGGAGTTCCAAATGTGCGCTCATCCACTTTAAAACATTTAAGCACATCTTGAGCCTATTTGAATATCTCATTTGACCTAGATCAGTTATTTAAAATTTAAAAACTTCACAACTTCAAACATTCTTCATTATGGCTAGTAAGTGTTAAATCATCAAATGCAATGGAATGAACCTCCCTTTTCAATCTTCACCTAAAACGAATCCCATCTTTTCAAAATGCGAATCAATGCCATAGTACTTTATCCTCTTTTATCTTTCTACATCAAATCATTTGATTGCTTCACTTACACTTCTTAAAGCTTTCTACGTAAGAAAGCCGACTTCACGTGAAGTTGATAGATAGCTCATGATTTCTATGATGCAAGTGAGATTATAAGTCTTATAGTATCTTTGACGTGCTATTCATATTGAAGAGTCCCTCATAGGTACATTATGAGTAGATACATGTACATGAAGATTCATGCATTCTTAGTTACATGTATTAGGTTCATACATGAATAATAATGTTTAATGAAGTACATGAATGACATTGGGGAATGTCCCAAGTTATCTATGTGTGTGTGTTGGCACACAAAGAAAGATGAAGCACGTAATTATGAATCCTTTCTAGTAATACAAAGTTCTCCTCCCCGAAAATTCTACGAAGCATATACAATTCACTGGTTACGGTCCAAGAAGTCTCAACAGCCAAGTGGTTCGGACATCCATGTGCGAGCTAGTTAAGGTCGTGAGGTTGTGACAGGAACAGTTAGCCTCAAGGTACGTCGAGTCGAGGTATTTTTACTATGTTCTGTACTTACGAGGTATCAACGACCCCAAAAATGCTAATGAAACAAATCTTTAAGGTATGGATTATCATTTAGTTATATGTATTGAACTTGGTTATAGAGTTGCAGGCACATTTGCTTCCTATTCTATTTATCTATCAAAATTGCCTTTGAATGCAATGGTGAGCGTCGGGGAATTGGAGTTGGAAGAAGAAGAGTTGTAAGGAAAGGAAGATCTTGAGTAGGAATGGAGAATTGGGTGGCCGACCGGCTCTGATAAAATAGTCTCTTGTGTTTTTGTTTTTGTCCTTACTCATTTGAACCCATCTCTACTTCTATTCTCTGTTCCTGTCGTTTTGCCGTATTAAGGTTGCGTTTTGACTATAAACTCCAAACACAACATAATCTTTGTCTCTCTTTCTTCCCTTCCCCTTTCCTTACAGACAAACAGACTGTCGGTTTGTTCATGATGTCTTCTTTCCAATGGATTCTCTGAGGACCCTACGCCTACATTTCTTTCTCCTTTTTTCGCTTCCCTTTTATCATGCCTGCCTACCTCTCCAATCCTAACTTCATTTTGGGTTCTTTTACAACTGCTCGGTCTCTATTTCTGACGTTTTCAGTTTCATGTCCAATACTTTTATCGTTAAGTTGTATCATGTCAACACTTAAGTCACACTGTGAGATTCGAAACCTTTCTTTTAAGGGTGTAAAAACCTCTTCTTTATAGACTCGTTTTAAAATCGTAAGGCTGATGATAATATGTAATGAGTAAAAGTGGACAATATCTGCTAGTGGTAGACTTGTACTGTTACAAATGGTATTAGAGCCTGTCACAGACAGTTTGTTAGTGAGGATGGTAGGTCCTCAAGAGGGGTGAATTGTGAGATCCCATCTTAATTAGAAAAGTGAACAAAACATTATTTATAAAGGTGTGGAAACCCCTCCATAATGAACACGTTTTAAAATCGTGAAGCTGATAGTATACGTAACGAATAGACCATGCTTTTTTAAAACTCAAATGAAATTAAGCACAAGCCACATGACTCATAAGAATGCGTGGACATGCACATCATGGGTCAATTCTCACATTCATATATAGAGATACTGACACATGCATACGTGTCATTTTATATTACAAATTCACTTAAAACAAATAGTTTCCCTATAATACTATTTTATTACTAGGTTGGATAGTTAGAAACGATTTGCGTGAAACAATCCAAAATTGCTTTAAAAAATTATCAAACAAATATTTCCCAAAGAGTTTAATTAATTAATAATAATAATAATAATAATAATAATAATAATAAAAAGGTTAGAGCTAGCGAAGACCTAAATGTAATCGAATAATAACTTCGAGTTACAATGAGACAAATATGTCAATGGAAATGGTTATGAAATAAAAAAATTCCACGTGGATATTCAACCTATCATATTTGTAATATAAAGTTATTTTACTTTTTAAACATATTTTGTCCGTGTTTATTTGATAATCCAACAAACTTAGATTTTAAAACCATAATTAGTATTTTTTTTATTAGGGTAGGGTTGAATTTTTGGAAAACAAAAAAATTTGTTCAATGTACCGGTTGACATTTTATGGTAAGAAAAAATTAAGAATATTTAATGTTTGTAACCAATATTAGTGGTATATAAAAAAATTATGATAACATTGTTAGACGAACAACTCTCCACAATAATATGATATGTCAACTTTGAACATAAGTTCTCGACTTAGCTTTGGACTTGGGCTTCATACAAAAGAGATAGTATTCTTTTATTATTGAATTTATAATCAAGAAATATTATCTCAATTGATACGAGGCTAAAGTAAAGTCATGAGAAGGAGTTATGCTCAAAATTGACAATATCATACCATTGTAAAGAATTGGTTTGTCTACGGAATACCCAAATCAGAATGATAGGAAAGAAAAAACGGACGCACAAAAACATAGAGAAAAAGGGGGGGCCGCTTCAGATCAGGAAACCTGCGCAGAACAGAGGTTTCGGGTAAAATCCAAAGAGACGAGGGAAGGAAGCAGCAGCCGAAATCAAGCACATTAAGTCCAGCCTGGTAGAGTACTCTAATCGCACTCCCAAGGAAACAACTCCGTCCAGCTAGTTCCCCCTGTTCTCACTTTGGCCGGCAAAAAAGAAGAGCCGATTAACAAAAACAAATATAAATTCTCCGGCGGTTGCTTTTGGAGTGGTGGAATTGGAAACATGTCCGGGTTTGACTTTGGAGCAAGAGAAAAAAGCCCTCTAGGGTACAGTTTCTGACATGATTGTCAGCTCCAGAAAAGGTGTCTCTCAACAGTTGATTCTCGGTTAATTTTAGATGAGGATGGTCTAATCAAATCAAGCTCTCTCCAATTTTACCGGGAGTGACTGCAGGAGGGTATTCGGGATTGCTGCTCAATCGATTTAAAAAATGATATATCACAGCGGCTTCTTCGGGATTGGAAACCAGAATCAATCGTGTTAGGTAAAACAAATTTTTAGCCGCAATGAAATTTGAATGCTGTGTGTATGTGTGAGCGTGAGGTATCATTCTTTTTCGTTTTTCCGGGAAAATATTTCCATGTTTGGGGAGATGGAAAGTTCTTGAATCTGGGTTTTAGTTTAAAAAAGAATTTAAAAAGGGTTGGAGAATGCATGGAAGTGCTAAAAAACAACCCATTTTACTAGCCGTTCACTTCCCTTATTAATTGCAGAGAGAGAGAAAGAGACAGTGTTTTCATGGTTGACCTTCAATCAGTGAAACAGATAATAACAACTCGTTTCTCCCCCTCTCTATGTCCATGCCCCATTTATTCCTTCTCTCATCTGCCTGTCGTAATAATCTTTGATGTCTATTCAGGCGCCCCTCATCGTTTCTGGTTGCTTTGGGGGGTTCTTCTGTACAGTTGCTGTAACATATTGTGGAGTGCATTTTCCTCTGTTCCTCTAGGCCTCAAGGTTTTCTCTCCCTTTCTTTTATCTTCATTTTTCTTTTCTTGTTTCTGTATTAACTGATGTGCAAGGGATTATGATTCCTCAATCATTTTCTTATGTTTTCTTCTTGGCTGTTTCAGAGTCTCATAGTTCCACTTTATGCTTTTTTTTCTCCATTTATTTTTATCCCCTTTTGTTTGAAGCACAAACGGGATAACCTCTCTTCCATGATCATGGAGAAAGGAAATTTGGGATTTCCCTTTTTGTAGCTCTTATATAAGTCAACAGATGTAGCATTTTTTTAATGGGGTTAATTAGATCTGCTTTGTTAGTTAGATTTCTGATTCATACCATGATTTGGATTCTCTCTTTTGATTCCACCCAGCAATGCACAGAATTGGTGAATTCCTATATGGGTTTTCTCTCAGTTCTTTTGAATTTTCTTTCAGCTTTGTTTGTAGTTTTCTGTTTCTAATTTTAAGATTAACTTACAAGATGGTCGGATCTAATTGGGACTACCAGACAAAAAAGGGTGGTGGGTACTTTGAGAGGGGCCGATATCGGATGCACTTCGATTTAATATTTGGATTTGCGTTTTGTTTTTCCTTTCAGATTTAAGATGTTTTCATAAATTCAAAATTTCTGTCTTTTTGTATGAACAGAACACTGAAATTCCATGTGTACAGGTTATTGTTTAGGGTATTTAGTCTACCCCTTGGAAATTAAGTTCTTAACTGGATCTCCCTTGCGAGGTAGGATAATATATTAGAAAAGCACCACGAGTTCTTGATTCTAAGTAGTGAAAGTGATCGAGTGGCTTCTTTTTTTCCTTTCCCTGCTTATAGTCAGTGGAATGATAATCTTGTTTTTTTGACTTCTGGGAACCATTGCTACGAAAACTTTCTAATTGTGACTTAAAACTTAAAAGTTGGCCTCTTTCATACTTCTTGAGCTGACCTTCTGCTGTGTAAATTGATAATTTATTCTGCAATTGTACGAAGGTGGAAGGTTTTGACTTGGTTTTTTTCACTTTACTTTTCTAGCCTATGAATGACAGACTCCAAATATAGCCATATCAAGCCAACTTTGATGCATGTCTTGACAAATTCCATTTGAACAGTCCATGTGAATCATGAAAGTTGGTAAATTTCATATTCTTCTCCTTTGCCTTTGCCCATAAAATGTCAAAGAAAATAAAATTTTCCTTGGGATTTATATTTTATTTCTTTTACAGAGGGCGAGCCCGTAGTTTCCCATTCAGATGCTAGCCCCAAGTTTATTCCCAAGTCTTTTGAGTGTGATAACGATGCTCTTGACTCTGGTGGGATGAAGCTTGAAGATCATAAAGATTTTACAGGCCTTCTCAAAGGTAACGAGGATGCCAATCAAAAGAATACTGTTGTAGGTCTTGATGATCTTAATGAATTTGATGAAGTTAAAGCCTTTGTGCCATCCCTCACTAATTCTTCTAAAGTAGACTTGTTTGAGGAAGACTCGGAGTTATACATGGAAAAGAGTATTGTTGAATGTCAACTTCCTGAACTCATAGTTTGTTACAAAGAAAACAGCTGCAATATTGTGAAGGATATTTGTATTGACGACGGAGTACCTTCTCGGGATAAGCTCTTGTGTGGTAGTAGTAGTTTAGATGAGAAGGCTGTCTGTGTCATTCTCCCTCCTGAGGAAGATTGGAAGGACGAGTTGGCAAGAACGCTAGAGGAAGGAGATATGTTTGCTTCCGACGATTCAGAGCATTCGGAATCTTTTGGCAAAAAGGATTCACCCAAACAAAGAGATTTCGAGGAATTGGCTAGAACACCCCAAGCAGAATATGATGTGGAATATTTAACTGACAATGATGTACTAAATCTTCCAGTGACAGACTTGTTTACAGAGAGCGTAAAGCCATTGACCAACAATAAGAATGAACCTAACCCTCAGTCTGAACAGGTATGTTTTTTCTTTTGGCATAATGGATGTTCAACCTACATCAAGAACGTGTATCACTGTCTTTAGTTGAGACTTTCATTACTGTTCTTGTTTCTAGCTCGCATTATCATACGTCGAGTGTTATGCACAATTAATTGTATAGATCTCTTGGAGCTCTGGACATTGTTATCAGTATGTTAGTTTAAAACTCTCTAGTTGTAGCCAAAGAATGTTGGGGGTGGGGGTTGGCTATGACTGAAACTTTTTAATTTGAGTTCTTGTTGGCTCTTTCAACTATAGACATGATGTAATTATGCTTGTGGGAATTGTGTGTGTTAGAAGGTGACTGTATTTTGTTTGTTCTCATGCAGGTTTTGGCATGTGTAGCTGAAGAATCTTATAGTGACACCAGAGAAGCAATATCAGAAGAATTCGCTGCTTCAGATCTAGCAACTGAAGAGCCCAAAAATAGCGATTCTGCGGAGGATATATCATACAATAGTAAAATGGACAAAGGAAACATTACTTTTGATTTCAATTCTTTTGCATCCACAGCTAGTGATGGACTCGAGCATTGTGATAATGGTGACTTGAACTCTTCAGCTCCTTCGACCAGTGCCTCGGTGGATTGCCTAGACACTAGCAGCTCCAACCGCTTAGCTTCAGCTGACAAATGTCAAGTACATTGTTACGATTATAGTAGTAACCCGAAACGTGTGGAGTATGAAGACTTGCTACGAGTGGAATATGAAGACTTACATAAGGCAGAAGTTGGGAATTCTGATAGTCATTCAGTTTCAAGCCAAGTTCAACATGGCGTAGGTGAAGCAAGTGTCTCTTCTATGGTATCTTTGGGGAGTCTGTTATCTAATTCGGGCCGTATAGGTTACTCCGGCAGCATCTCTCGTCGTTCTGATAGCAGCACGACCAGCACCCGTTCCTTTGCCTTTCCCATGTAAAACTCTTGATATCTCTTAATGTGTACATATTTCTTCTAATCATTATAGTCCGGAATTAATGGGAGCAAAATGTTTATCTTCCTGCAGATTACAATCCGAATGGAACAGTAGTCCTGTTAGAATGGCTAAAGCTGATCAAAAACATCTACGGAAGCTTCGGGGTTGGAGACAAGGCCTTCTATGCTGTAGATTCTGAAAGCTTCTACTAATTTATACTCATAGGTTTAGTGTCTAAAATATGCATTTTACCCAAGTTTTTTCCTGCCGAGTCACATGAATATAGGCAATCTTTACCGCTTTACCTTCATTTGTCAGGCTCTCTTTCATATGCAATATCAACAAGTTATTAGAATTTCAGTTTTCAAAAAAAGGGCCATTTCTGCTCAACTTACAGAGAATGTTTACATAATGTAAGGCCATTTTACAAGATTAGCTGAAATACATGTTTGTTGGTTCGAACACTGAGTGATTATAAAAAGAAAAGGCTGCAGATCAACATTGTTTTACTTGTTCTTCACCAGCATGGTGACTGTAAAAGGTCTCAGTCAGTTGGGTTGCTCCCTTGTTGGCTTGCCCGAGTGTTTTCCTGCTTTAGCTAAACCAAACACAACGAGAAAGAAAAATAAATTTCTTAGAAAGAAAAGCCTTTGGTTGGTGGAGTGGGAAAAACTTGTGGTGCTCAACACTGCTATAGAATAATATATAAACCAAAAAGTGACTGCGTATAGTGGTGACAAGAGTTACCTGAATTGTGTAAAGCCATCCTCCCCAAAAGTGAACAATAACATATTGTTTTCCTCTTTCTCTCTCTGTTTCTCTTTGTGTATTATATATATTTGTTTGGCCACACACATAGGCAGGAAGTCTTATACTCTTAAGATATGGGTTTGATATTCATGGCCATGCTTTGCTGTGTTTCTCTATTGATTCTCTCGGTACCTTTTGCTTCCTCGCATGCTCTTGACCAGTCTTCTCCCTTGCAAGGTCTGTATACTCAGTCATGTCTCTCTCCTTCTTCTACATTTTGTTCTTGTTCTTCTCTCTCTCTGAGAATAATGGAGTTATTTGTGATCTTGCAGAAACTGAAGCAGTGCATTCACCTCGTCTCGTTTTGTCAAGGAAGTTCAAAATGTTGGAAGAAGCGAAGGTTTGTTTGAGAATGCTTTTGAAATAAGTTATAAAAGAACATTCGTAGAGCCAGTTTGGAATGACTTTTCGAATTCGTAAAAATATTTTTGAACTAAGTTTTTCATTGTCAATGTCCAACTCTTCTAAACCATCTGGGCATTGTTCTATCTGTGTTCTTTCTCTGCTGTTGAAGTTGTGATATATATCACTGATGATTTTCCTGGAAACAGGTTGTTGAAGCTCACGGATTCCAAGCTTCCAAACAAGAAGATGAGCAGAAGGAAAATGTTTCAGGTATGCAATTTCAAAGAAAGTCCAAAAGTATGCAAGTTCTTAAATAACTCATTCCTGTCATGTCTGTAATCTTGCCAGTTCTTTGACTAAAAACTGCAGCAACATTGCTTCCTTGAAGATGGAAAATTTGTGGGCTTGCCATTTTTGAGTAACAACAATACATTAAATAAATGTACTTTCTTTTTCACATTTTTGATACATATCTTCACTTTCAGATATATTTCCTGCCATTTTTTGTTCTCAAATCACTTCATGAAATTATTTATTTTAATTAGTTGGCCTTTTTCTTTAGTCATAGTCATCTACTCACTCCAACCAAGCGGTCATATCTTAATTACCATTTATCGTATTGTCGCATCAATAAGTGGTCAGAGTTTGTAGATTAAATTATTTACTAAAACATGTACATTTTAATTACCGTTTATCATGTTGTCATATCAATAAACGGACAGAGTTTGTAGATTGAATTTCTGCCTAAAATGAATACATATCAATTATCGTTCATCAGGTTGGAGGTGAATATTTGATAATATTTTGGAATGAATGCATTTGAGATATGGTATTGGAAAAATGGAATTAATATAATCGCCATATTTACAGGTCAGCCTTATAAAAGGGAGGAAAACAAAGGGAAGGGGAGAAAGTGGGGGAATGTGGCCGACATGTCGTCGCGGTTTCTCACAATGGACTACGCTCACATAAAACGGCGCCGTCCCGTACATAACATGTCTCGCCAACGTCCTTGAAGTTATCTCAATTGTCTAATCTAACCCCTTCATTTTTTTCCTTTTCCAATTTTAACCCAAGAAAATGAAGGATTTGCATTCTTAGCCATATGTTATGGCCGACAAAATGGCAGACTAGTTTAGAGGCTCCCTATAATTAAAATTATTAAATTAGAGGGACCCACTTGGAGGTCTGTGGATGTATGTAACTATCATTTCTCTATTAAACAATAGTTTAATTCAAAACATTATTTTAATGCTTCTTTTATTTAATTATATTTTATTTGAGCAGAATAAAAAACGCTTATTAAATGCAAAAAAAAAAAAACATGTTTAATCATTTAGCGGGAAAATAAATGGGCCGAAGCCCAGAAATGGAGAGTCCAAATAATTAAATTAGTAGGAAAATAAATGGGCCTAAGCCCATAGATGGAGGGTCCAAATCATTAAATTAGCAGGAAGGTAAATGGGCCAAAGCCCAAAAATGGAGAATCCAAATAATTAATTTAGCGGAATAAAGGGTTGTAAATGTAAATAAAGCGCGTACCGGTAACAATAGTGGACAGAGCAGAACAGAAAGAGAAACGAAGCAAGAAGAAGAAGAAGAAGAAGAGTCAATGGAGGATTTATGGAAGAGAGCGAAATCGTTCGCAGAAGAAGCGGCTAAGAAATCCCAGACCTTAACGTCGACCTCCACACTCTCCGAATTGGTCTCAGAAACTGCCAAAAAGTCCAAGGAGCTTGCCGCCGAGGCCTCCAAGACTGCTGATCTCATCAAAACGGCCGCCATCAAGCAGGCCGATCACCTCAAATCACTCAACGTCGCCGACATTATTCCTCCTCAGCTCTCTTCCATTTCCATTTCCAATTTATCTGCTCCCTCGCCTCATTCTCAGTCCGTGCTCGAAAAGTTTGGCCTCAACGACGATCTGAGAGAATTTGTGAGTGGATTTACTCCAACTACTTTCCAGAACTTTCCGATCCAAGGTAGGAGCAGTTTTGGCGAATGTGATGGTCAATTTTCGGATTGGTAATTATTCTATATGCGTAATCGCGCGGATTGTTTTTTATGATTAATGTAGACGGACCGGAAGCGTCTGACGTTGCTGTTACAGCCTCGAATGTGCGCAAGGATCTGACGGAATGGCAAGAACAGCATGCAACGTTGGTTCTCACCAATGTCAAGGTGAAATCAAAATGTTTCATATCCTCGTAATACTAGTTAAACTCAATCAAATCATGTAGCATCTGGCTAGAATTTCTTGTTTCTAGTGATTTGTTTCTTTGGTTTCCAATTGTTTATCATTCTGGGGATATTGCGCTGTTCCCTTTCAAATAAAACTACATTTTTTAGATAATTGGAAAACATACGGTTAAATACGGTGGGAACCAAGCCGAGTCCTTCAATTCAACTAAATCACGATTCGGCTGAAAACTTGGTTTTTTATTTTCTGTCCATTGCTTTTCTAAATTTATATTTGATTTTTCTGGTTCTAAACCTCATTTGCATCATTGCAAATATCTTCGTCCGAAATAAAATTCACTCTTGCTACTTTCAAAAGCTATTGTTGAATATGCTTTTCAAAATCAAAAGTCTGGCGTCCAGCCTTTTCTGTATATTTAATTTGTGGTGGTGCCTCGCACATGCTAAGTAGAGATGGATCTCATTCTCTTAAACGAGAACTTGTGTGACAAGCAAGAATTGTGAAGAGGCATATGGGAGAAAGAATCATTCTTATGTTAAATAATGGAAACACCACAACTTGTTGCCTTTCCACTTTGGTGGTCTTCATTTCTCCCTTGTGAAATGATGAATTGGACTGATACAATTGCTTAATGCTTGTTCCTTTCATATCAATCGGTTAACAGGTACCAAGTGGCCTTGTCTTAAAATATTTGTTAGTGTTTGGAAATCCAATTCTTGCCTGTGGTAATGCCGAAAGCTTGAGAGATTATTTCAAGAATTTTAGTTACTGTTGATCCTAGATGATGCAGAAATGTTACCCCGGACCCAGATGAACACATAAATTTTAGCTGCACTTGATTCATCTGTCAGTTCAGAGTTGTTAGCTTTTGTCCAGGTTCATCGGCAACAGTAGATCATCGAATTCATTTTAGCTGGATAGTCATAATTGAATCGTATTTTCATCCAAATACAATTTAAAAAATCGCCCTTATTTCTGATTTCTTTTGCAGGAAATTTCAAGATTAAGATATGAACTATGTCCGAGAATTATGAAAGAAAGGATATTCTGGAGGATATATTTTACACTTGTTAGCAGTCATGTTGCTCCGTAAGTTGCATTTCTTTAATTGTAGCTCCTTCCCTCTAATCTTAAGATCAATCTTGAATGCTTCGTTGTTTCTTATTGAAGAAATATGCCACCACATGCTAAACATATAATACAGTGTTTCTATCATGTTGAGAAATTTAATTGTCGACTTCATCACTATGGAAGATAGTTTCTACCAAACCCTGTTGTTGTATGCACCAATTTAGCTTACATATATAATACAAGGTTTTTTGTTTAGAAAAAACACGTGATTAATACATTTGAAGGTATAAGAATTTTAGGAATCATGAAAGTTGTACTATGGTGGTATAGCCTGACATAATATACCATATAGAATAAGTATCACACTGACGAGTGAGCTGTTGTCAGGTTGCTGCATCTAATTTCATTTTCTTAACTTATCAACAAATGATTCTGGTTTACACCCTCAATGGTTAAAATATACAGATACGAGAAGAAATACGTGGAAGAGATTAAGCTGAAATCTGAAGAACAACGAAAAGCTGATGATGAAGCCAAGCAAACTCCGTCGGTTGGAGCTTCTGAAAAAGTTGAAGAGGCGGAAAAGAACCTGAAGGGTACAGCTTCCAAACGGTCGTCTGCTGATCAAGATTTGGATACTTTTCTTTTGGGAGATCTTGAAGACAGTGACGCAGGAGGTGCAGGTAAATTTAAATCCTCTCGAGAAGGGGGCACCCCAGACTCTAGACTCTAACCGACTCTTTTTTCTTCAATGGATCATAGCAAAGTCTATTAAGTAAAAAACTCCTCCTTTCTTACGAAAGGTAGTCTCGAGAAGGTGGCACAAGAGGACCTGACAGGACCTGACAACCTCTTTCAGGTTGATCCTCCTCTGAGCCGAGGCCCCTTATATTACCTTCCCTCGAATCCAATTCATTTGACGATTTAACTAGTTTCGGACTACACGCTACTCTCCTTGGGGTCTTCCATCAGCAAAATTCTTACCCCAGGATCCAGTTTAGTCTCATGGCGGGGACCTTTTGAAAATTACCGTACTTTTAAGTAAATGGATGCACTTGTCAACTGCTAAAATACAGAATGGGCGAAAACTAATTCCTGTCCTCGTAAAATGGCCGCTAAACTACTCTCTACCAGCCGGCCCCTTCTGAACTTATATTTATGTTGGTTGTCATTTCTTTTCCAGATGATGGTGACGAAAGCTTCGATGATGACTTCGACAAGATTGAAAACTCGGTCAGTTTATGCTTCCCTTTTGGTCTTCCCACATAGTCACACTATGCCAGCTCCCAATTTTAAACTAATCTGCGAACTTCATGGCTGCATACAGGATGTCGAAGAAGAAAATCCCAAGGCAAAAGCCACAAGTTAGAACATAAAGCACAACAAGAAGAAGATGCAACAGGGAAGATGGGGTGTTTAATAGGATCATGGCTTGGCTTCCATGACAAAAAGAACGGGCTGTTGAGAAGAAATTCGTGGTGAAATACTAAACGAGAAAGTGTATTACAGGTGTTTCATTCCCAAAAACGAAAAAGGAAGAAGAAGATTGTTGTTTCTAAAAATATCATTAAATTCTATTCAATTGTATAAACAACACTGTCGTTGATTGATGGGGATGGCTGGTTTTCCCTTGCTTGCAGTTTATACAGAATTTACAGATCAATTCTATTTTAAAGTTGAGTGATTTTTGAAACAAATCTTCCAAATTTTGGTTTTTTTTTTCTTGGGTATCTGCACAACATAATATATGAATGCAATATTATTGCTGCGCCGCCATTTTCAATCACCATGGCTCTTAAATCCCTGCTAAAACCCAAATGCTTCACTCGAAAGGCCATCCTTTCTTCCTCCCTAGCGTCTTCTTCGCTATTTTCCTCTCTCTGCAAAGAGCGTATCTTCTCACTGCCTTCCGAATCCCCACCTACTGCTAAAAAGGTTCCTTTCACTCACTCAGTTCATGGCATTACGCTGCAAGATCCCTACCACTGGATGGCCAACACTGCCGACCCTGATCTCGCCGACTACCTCCGTCGAGAAAACTTGTATGCCGAAGCTTTCATGGCCGACACTCAGATTCTGCAGCGGCGGCTCTTCTCCGAGATGACGAGTCGAATACCCACCAAGGTTTCCACTCCTCCTGAGCCTTGGGGACCCTGGTCTGCCCTTTCTCCTTCTCCCTCGAAATGTGTTTCTTTTTATTTGGTTTCGCAATGCCTCTTAGCGTGTTCATTGCGTTATGTCTCTTGATGGTCGGCCATGGTTGAACCTAAATGTATCGTTCCACCTGATCAGGTTTTACTACCAATACATCCCGGAGGGGAAGGAATACCCAGTTCTATGCCGTAGGCTACTGAATCAGAAAACCAATTGGTTAAAGAAACTTACCCAATTTGCTAAAGGAAATTCTGGGAAGCAGGAGGAAGTTTTACTTGATTGGAATGAAATTGCTAAACAATATGGTAAGTTTTGTTCATCCACTTAATTTTCATTTTCATTCATACTTAGCTATCAGAATTATGACATTTCCTTAAATTTTACGATGAGTTGCTCATCATATTTGCAGGCTATGTTCACGTGGGAACTTGTCGTGTTTCACCAGACCACAACTTTCTAGCATACACAGTTGATATTACAGGCAGTGAACACTTCATGCTTCAGATTAAAGACCTAAGAAGTGGACTGATGATTCCCAAGTTACAGGAGGGAGTTGTAAGTTTGGCTTGGGCGGAAGAAGGCAGGACGCTTTTCTACACACAAGCAGATGAGAATCAGAGACCTTACAGGCAAATTCCTCTCATCATTCTTAACCTTCTTTTCAAGAACTTCATTTACCTGACATTTACCTGACATTCGACAGGGTTTTCTCCACAAAACTTGGATTCAGCAACACCGAAGAAGATGTCTTGGTGTTTGTTGAAAATGATCCCAACTATTGTGTCGACATAACGAGTACGAAAGATGGGAAGTTCATAACCGTGAATTCGAACTCGAGGACTTCTTCTGAGGAAGGTTCCCTTTTTCACGAAGATCTTAATTAAGCCAGCTTTAGACTTTTATTCTGAAACTTTACTGGTTTGTCAACCCAGGTTTATATTATAGATGCTAACAACTCGTTAAGCGGTTTGCAAAGAATACACAAACGCATTCCGGGTATTCAATACTTTCTGGAACATCATTGCGGTTTCTTTTATATCCTAACAAATGCTCCTCTTGAAAAGAAAGGGGATTGTTTGAAGGAAGATTATTATGTAGCTCGGTGTCGAGTTGAAGATATCAAGTCAGCAAATTGGCAGGTTACTTTTATGCTCGACTTTGTACCACATATGATATCAGCGCTGCGCCCCTTTATTTATCATTGTTTTGCTCGCCACGTGTGTATATTTTAGGATATCGTCCTTCAGAGCCAAGATTTCAGTATACAGGACATGGACGTTTTTAGTGGACATCTTGTGCTTTTTGTCAATAAGAATGGTGTTCCAATGTTATGTTCAATCAATTTGCCTTTAGATGCTAATCATAAGGTATGTGTTTGTCTTTCTCTGCTTGTTCTATTGCTAAATAAGCTGCATAACAAATTTTATATATCATCTCATATCTACTTGTTCTGTAGCATTGCTTGGAGATCGAGAAACTTGACCCATGGTTTTTCCCTCTTCCCTCAAACTCCTGCAGCGTATCTCCAGGATCGAACCATGACTTCATGAGCTCGTTATACCGTGTGGTGCTTTCGTCTCCATTGGTATTACTTTATAATCTTACATTCATGCATATTCATAGAATATGTTAGCATGTACTTACTGAAGTTTCTGTCATCTCTTGGAACTACCAGATGCCTGATTTGATTGTTGATTATGATATGTCTAAAAGGGTCTTCTCGATCATTCAGCAAGAGGAAGTAGAAGTTAAGCATGATGTTAAACTTAAAACATATCAACCAAATGCGTTGGGTATCGAGAAAGTTTCAGATGCGCAAAACAAAAGAGAAAACTTCGAGAATCGTGAATCCAAAACTTGGAAGGACTTTTCTGATTCATACTGTTGTGAGAGGAAGGAAGTTATATCACATGATGGAATCAGAGTACCCTTGACCATATTGTATTCCCCTTCGACTTTTCAGAAAGGACGGTCACTCGGAGTTCTACAAGGGTATGGAGCATATGGTGAAGTTCTTGATAAAAGTTGGTGTCCTTCTCGCCTGAGTTTACTTGATCGTGGTTTCGTGCTGGCATTTGCAGATATCAGGTAGTTTTTATCGTTATAAACAGGTTTTTTGTTTCATTTTCTTGCATTGAACTTAGTTTAGAACCTTGATTGGCTGTGCAGGGGAGGTGGTGGTGGTGATTCTTCATGGCATAGAAGTGGGAGTGGGCTTGAGAAACAAAACTCAATACAAGACTTTATCTTTTGTGCGAATTTTCTCATTGATAATGGCTATGTTCATAAGAATCGGCTGGCTTCGATTGGATACAGTGCAGGAGGCCTGCTAGTTGGAGCTGCTATCAACATGCATCCTGACCTGTTTCGAGCAGCCATTTTGAAGGTTAGTTTGAGCCATACACTTGCCTACTCATTGGTCTTCACATCTTGTAAAGTAGATAGGAAATGCATCTTGAAAGACCATCACTAATGTGTTTTCTCTTTGATACTACACTGCAATATCAGGCCTCTCTAATGACATTACCATATGTTAACCTCTCCAATGTCATGTAATAGCCCAAACCCACCGCTAGTTTGTATTGTTCACTTTGGCCTGTTACATAGCATTGTCAGCCTCACGGTTTTAAAATGCGTCTGTTAGGGAGAGGTTTTAAAACGCCTCTATTAGGGGCCCAACGTTCTTGCTGGCACACCGCCCAGTGTCCGACTCTGATACCATTTGTAACAACCCAAGTCCACGGCTAGCAGATATTATCATCTTTAAGCTTTTCCTTTTGGTCTTCCTTTCAAGGTTTTAAAACGCATTTACTAGACAAATGTTACCAAACCCTGTAAGAAATGTTTTATTCTCCTCTCCAACCGATGTGGGATCTCACAACAGGAAGCCCAGAAGGAAAAACTCAAAGAGGACAATATCTGCTAATGGTGGACTTGGACTATTACAAATGATATCAGAGCCAGTCATTGGATGGTGCGAGACACTGGTCTGAGTAGGGCTAGACCCTCTCCATAGTAGACGCGTTTTAACATCTTGAATGGAAATCCCAAAGTGAATAACATCTGCTAGCAGTGGGCCTAGACTGTTACAAATACTTTATAGGAAGAAAGTTCTGCTGTTATTGGCGAATAAAGTTTTGGTAATATTTTTCAGGTTCCATTTCTTGACATATGTAACACGCTACTGGATCCCAGTTTACCTCTCACCATTCTGGACTATGAAGAATTCGGAAACCCACAGATAGCAATGCAGTTTGAGTCTATCTTGAGCTACTCTCCTTACGACAATATCTCTAAGGGAAGTTGTTATCCTCCAATGCTTGTCACAGCCTCATTCCGTGATGCAAGGTAAATTCTTTTCTCCTTTCAGCTGCTTACATTGTTATCACATTAGCATATCTGTTAAACATGTCGATGTTTGTTCATGCTTTGATTCCATTAAACATTTGCTGGAAACTGTTGAACTTCATCCTCAGGGTTGGAGTATGGGAAGCTGCCAAATGGGTGGCAAAAATCCGAGACACGACATGCTCCCGTTGTTCGACTTCTGCAATTTTGAAGACCAATATGGTTGGAGGACACTTTGGTGAAGGTGGTCTCTATGGTGGATGTGAAGAGACAGCTTACGACTATGCTTTTCTCATCAAAGTCCTCGGAACTTCGGACCGGGATTCAACTTTTTCGTAACGGTAAGGAACGAGGAACCCCTACTGTCTATTCATTAATTCTTCCGTAGATATATTAACTCTGGCATCCAATTACTTCTGCTACGCTTTTCTGTGTAGAACACATTGATGTTGCCAATTTTTCAGTTTTGGACTTGTAAATTGACCTCTGGCCTCAACTTGGGCAGTTTTTGTTCCATATTGCTTAAGATTATGTTGCCTTGTGAAAATTGCATATAAATTTCGTCTGTCGAGTGCGAACCAATTATGTTCGATATCTTATCTGCTGCTTGCTTCTAGGTAGACAAGGGCATTGAAAGTTACCGTTCGAGTTCACTGCTAGAAAATATTGTTTTCTTTGGGCTTCCTTTAAGGTTTTAAAATGTTTCGTTCCCCTCTCTATTTGATTGTGGAATCTCATAATCCACCCCCACTGGGGCTCAACGTCCTCATTGGCACACAGTTCGATGTATGGCTCTAATACCATTTGTAACAACTGCGTTCTTTTTGGGCTTTCTCTTCTAGGCTTCCATTCAAAGTTTTAAAATGAGTCTACTAGGTAGAAATTTCTATCCCTTCACAATGAATGTTTCGTTCCCTTCTTCAATTCTATATTTAATAATTTTGTTGATGTTTAAACCAGTGGAATACGTTAAGATCTACTGGACACAAAATTGATAAAATTAAAAGTTTATTTACTGATTACATAAAATTTTTGTATTTTAAACTCTAAGATTAATATTAGAAAAAAAAATCATATAATTTTTAATTTTATTAATTTAAACCATAAACTTGGTTGATTACATAAATTTTAACCCTATTCTTTCAATTTCATAATTAAACCTCAAACTTAAAT